ATGGATGTATGGGGACACTCTGGAAATAGGGACATCTGTACGGACCTAAATAAACAATAAGTTTGTGCTACTTGTAGAAGTGTACTCGAAATAGTAGACGTATAAACTCAGCCGCACGATGGGAAAGAAATGACAGGAGACCTCGGTATACATTCAAATTGCCTAATTGACACCTTCCTGGTCTCGTCATATAGCCGCAACGTCCACACATACACACACACATACACACACACATACAGCGGTGCTATGCTTACATACTTGTCCAATGATATCTCGAACGGACACGCGTACAATGACGCGGCCGCATGGCGGTAGGGGGCCTCCTTGATCCATTCAATGGGCTGTAGGTAGGCTTTCATGGTCTCATAGTAGTTGGCTATTCCCTTGAACAGGTCTGACAGGGCTTGGTTCTTGGTGTCGCCGTACTTGACGCGTCTTTGACACTCGTACGCTGGCAGGCGTTCGTATGTCTGAGTGCACGCGAGAGGATACGGTGAGACACACTCGGCACGTAGTCATGGTTGCCGTCAATATATACTGGGAAAGAAGCTGGAAGCTGGAAGGTGCAATGTAACGTACGCCAGTAAGCGGAATGTTTTTTCCGGTACTGACCCTGAGCAGGTCTGCGGATACCGTAACACGCACTCATACAGGCTGTACATAGTTACACATGCGCTACGTAGCTCCCACACTGGTTGCAAGGGCCCGGCTCGTGGTGTCTCCATACTGGACACGTCTTTGTCACGGTCTTCGACACGTGTACGCTGGCACGTGTTCGTATGTATGATACGCCAACATGCAGAGGGTACACGCACAATTACATTACATGGGGGCAGTCCTGGTTGAAGAAAGTATGCAATATCAATATCATCCCAGTAAGCGTTCATGTTCCTGAAACAAGGGACATATCCTTAAACAAGCCTGAGAGAGCTTGGAACTTGGGACTACCCCATACGTGACGCGTCTGTGACACATGAACGCTGGCAGGCGCATGCCTCTGCGATCAGCAAGCTGCATATAATCAACGAGACACGCCTACCGGGCGAGTGAAGAAACATACTCACATAGAAAGCATGCTATGTAATGAAGGAATGGTAACTGATCTATTGAACACCTGTGCTGTCTAATGAAGATACCATTCCTTAAGTGTACCTGCCCGCCGGCGATGTAGATGTGTATAGTAACGCCATAGCAGATTCGACTGGAGACAAATAGAAACGCGGCAGACCCGTAGAAAGTTTCCACTGTTTTTTATATCTCACCAAAGTAAAACAAAATACGTTCCACTTCATATGAAGTCATGGACTGTGGTGGC